CTGGCCAACATGAGAAGTGCTAATCATACAGTTGGGATCAAGATTTTTGTTGGCAACACTCTAAGAATTCATTCTAGAATTTTCCAAAAACAACTGTGAAAACAAGCAAGTTGATCCAAACAATATAATTCATCACATTTAAGAAGAGAAATCTAGTTGTTGATACTAACTTTGACTGAAATGCAACTTCTAAAGATTAAGATGCTTTTTTTACCGTATCAGACATAATGCAAAGCTTTTTTTGCACAAAGCAGCTAACAGAGAACAGCAGTAAAATTTATGTGAAGGAAAACCTGGATCCTTCATAAGATGTGAAAAATATAAATGTCAGTTCAGCCAATCAATTTTAATTAACTGGAAATCAGAATTGCAAAGACAGACTGCACTAAAGCCTACAGAGTGTTCACGTTCTGTTACTGATGAAATAAAAAGTAACAGCTATTAAATCAAACTATAATGAGGAGGTAATGTTTAGAACCAGGAAACGTTTCTCATCAGTGGAGAGTCTGAAGAAATGCCAGTAACAAGTCCTCACTTTCCCAGGGCTGATACTGAGATCGATACTGCAAAGGCAGTTGCAGAAATGTTAATGGAAAGTGTGTGGGGTTGTGCTTTTTGTTCTTTTCATGTTTTCTCACTCCTAAAAGAGGATGATCATAGACACCTACGGGGAGGTAAAGGCACCTACATGACTCCTTCAGGGTGCCATTCCAGGAGGATATGAACACATGTCACCTCATTCAATCTGCTCACCTCCTGCAAAAGCCAAGGGAGGGAAAGAAGCTACTCCAAATGGGAAATTTAGACAGCAGCTTAACTGAAGTGCTTCGAAGGAGCCTCGGGCACCATTGTCTATACAACAAGGGCAAACATCTTTTCTGAAACATGTACTGATATTCTCCCTCCTCCTTCCTCCACCCTTTCTACAGCCCCTGGGAGATGTTTCTCCTCCCACTCTTTACAGTTTCCTTCTGTGTTTTCGTGCTGCTGAACGATCGCGTTGCCCGAGCAACGGCAGCTGCGGAGGGGAGCGGGGCGAGGGCTCTGGCCCGGTTGGGAGCCATCGGCACCAGCCCCTGCTCTGCCCCCGAGCCGTGTGACAGCAGCAGCCTCAGGAGATGAACAGTTCAGCTGGGCCAGGTGCCTTGGGCTGGGTCTAACCTCTGTTTTAGGTGCTGGGGATATCACAGCCACCTTACATTTCTGTTCAATTATGCAGAAAATAACCTAACACTCAAGACTGTCAGACAAGTAGTCTGGCTTATCGACACACCCAGGTTATATTCACAATGCAGCCACATTTGTTACACTTTAATTCTGGTCCTGATAGCACTCAGACACACACATTAACTGGTAATTAATCTCCAGAATCAGAATAATCCACTCTGGAAATTTCAGATTATTATGCTATATCTCTCCCACCCTTTGCTCTTTTCACTGTGTATTTTACAATTCAGAAAAGTAACCAAAACAAAAGTGTCTATCAATGACCTTTGCAGATCCACTTCAATATTTGTACTGTTCTTTCTTTTCATCTTTGCTGTCTGCCTCTTGGTACTTGAGCAATATCTGGGAAAATGAGAATGTAGTCTCGCTGCCATTGCTGTGCAAGAAATAATAATCTCTACGAGATATCCAGTGGAGATTTCTTTTCCAATATTGTTTTATTGGAAGAAATCTTTTTTTTTCTAAATAGCATTGTGCTTACAAGGTTCTGTGTTCCTACAGTTTATGAAACTCCACGGGTTGCCTCCCCCCTCTCACGACGGTTTACGATCAAAATGACTGTAATTGGCTACTTGCTGCTCTGCCGATTACAGGAGGGAGGGCTGGGCAATTCTGCCTGCTTTTCAGCAATTATCACTTTGAACATCAAGTATGGAATAGTCTGTGCTGATATTTCTTAAATAAGCACAGCTACTATGACACTCCACTTTCTTTTTTATTACTTCTGAAGTAGAAGCACAGTTAGTTAGAGGTTGCAGTTACACACCAGGCGTTAATGGGGAGTTACTGGGAAATGATTTGACCTTTAAAATTTCATTTCAATGTGAGCTTCATTCAGAATTAATTTACTCCAGCTTACCCAACAGCCTTCAGCAGCTGCATGCTTGCTAATCCTGGCCCCTGCACTGTATTTATAGTGCTATTTAAAAAAAAATAATTTAGACTATGTTTATTTTTGTTGAGCAAAAAATAGAGAACAACTGGAGTCAAAGCTCGACAGACCCAACCACAAAAGCTCAGAAACTAATCCTTCATTTTTTTGCTCTGCTTTCTTCAGAGATAACCTACTTTTCCATTTCCAGCTATCCAACAATATAGTCAGTGAATATCACCAGAGCAAAATGCAGTCTGGAATTTATGGCTTACTCAGCCCAGGGAGAAGCCTTAATTAATGAAGTCTGGAGCGCTGTGACTGGATGGCAGATTCCATCAATGGATTTGGAATGAAACTATCGGGATTTCTCAGTGTAACTGGAAGTTTTAAAACCATCTCCCAAAACAGTGTTAATCTATCTAGGACATAAGGAATTGTGCTTGGGAGGTAGTTGGCCAGGTGCACCAGTGCTGCCTCTTCCAGCAGGGATGCAAATCCAGGCTTCACACCAGAAAGGAGGCTCACGGTCCTGGAGTTTGGGGAAGGGAAAGGCATAAAGCCAAACCCCCTCAGTGTGAGTCATGGATTTCCATGGGATTACAGAGGGCTGGAAATAGCCCACATTTACGGGATTAGGTCACCGTGCTAAGATCATTAACCTGCCCTCAGGGAAGCACTGCTCCCTCCCTGCTGAGATGTAAAGGGTGAGGATAATTGGCCCATGGGGGTACAAGAAAGACAGAAGAAAGAAGTGAAATAATGGGAAGTCCTTGAAAAAACAGCATAAAAAAATTGAATATCCTGATTTCCCTTAAAAGGACCCAATGAATAGCACTTACAGACTCCAATCGATACGAACTCTCATCAATACATTTACCATTTATCTGGTTAGCAATACAAACTCTTTTATACTGATAAAGTCCCACCTGTGATTTGCATTCTGTAAAAGCTGTATCACAAAATTTTATTTGGCTGTGGAGAACTTCAGCAAACCTGACTCTCAGATCACATAAGAGCTCTGTGATCAAAGCACGCAAAAAGCTTAGTTATGACCATCTCTACTCCATAAAACTTGCCAGACTAACGTAAAAAAAAAATCTCACAAAGACAAGACTGCAATAAAAGTAATATTATCACTTCCTCAAGCTCTAATGAAATGTCTTAGTGGGAAGTGGAGCAAAACAATCTTATATGTGGTAAGGGCACTCATCTGGAAGCAGATCTTGGATGGGCTTTGTACTTTTTCCAGTGAATAATGAATTGAAGACAGGAGATTAATAATGAATTAATTTTAAAACAGAACAATTCCACGAAGCAGGAAGAACAGCTTATGATTTCCTCCCCCAGGTAAGTGTCCTGGGCACTAGGCTATGTAACTAAGCTCACATTTCCTCTCATTCCAGTATCTTTAATCTCATTCAGTGCTAATTTCTTCATTCAATCAAAGCTGTGTTTGACCTTTGTGAAATGTGCGTTTGGAGGCTGTGAGGGGAGCACACCAGTCAAGTAGAGAAATAATTAAATCAGCTGGTCAGAGCTTGGCAATAATAAATTGCACAGGACCATGATGCTGTGTAACTGTACATTTGGTTCGTTCTTGAAGTGTTTTACAAACTCCATTCCTTACAAAACTGTGCCTCCAAACTTGCTGGGCCATTTACAGATGTCTCTAGCTTTCATGAAATTCTACCTCTTCTTTAGACATAACTTTGGATGTTCGAATATTACTAAAATACTACTTGGCTTTTATGGGCTCTGGGTCAAAGTGTATTGTCACCTTGTCAGAGAGAATTTTTATGACAGTCTTTATGTTTTTCAAGATGAAGTGACTGAAAATTCTTGAAGTTGCTGAATAAAACACACAGGTCTAAATCACTTTAAATCCCAGTGGATGATTAGCAACTGAGTCTTGGATTAGGAGACACCAAATTCTTGTGAAGGAAAAAGAGGCACACAAGGCAACACCAGCACAGTCCTCCCCAGAAACAGCTGTTTGCTCCAGAGAGTGTTCATCTGACACTGCACCTGCAGTGCTTTTCACATGTAGCACGATTTTCTACAACCTCTAAGGAATGTTTAATACAAAACTGCCACTGTTGGCCTACAAAATAGGCCAACAACAGAAGCCTCAGGCCCGCCACCTGATCGTGCATCCCTGCTGGAATTCCCTGCTGCACCCTGGAGATGGCTAGAAAGGAAAAGAATAAAACCTTGTGGTTTGGCCCATCACCATCTTCTTCAATTTAACAAGGCCTTGCATTTCTCAGCTGCTGCAAACATCAAACCAGAGCCATGGAATCACTCTGGGGAGCGTGGCAGTTACGTCTGCACTGCTTTCTTGCATGATGTCAGCTTTTGTGCACTAGGAATGGCAGTGAGTGACCTTTCCATTCATTGCTTTCAAGCTTTTGATCAAAATCTGATGTATGTTACACTGTAAATTGAGTTACAACACACACAGTGTGTCTGAGGTCAAACATTTATAATGGGTGTGACAAATAGAAAACGATCTTCTGTCACTCATTACATATATAGCAAACAGCACCAATAAAATTATTACATCCACCAGCACAAAAATGAAATGAGAAAACTGAACCTGAAGTTTCAGTAGGCATGGCAATGTATCAATTAATATATGAAATAATAAATCCATTTTCATCTAGCATGGACTGTCCATTTTTCATATGAGGCTGTATTACTACTTGTGAGAGTTTACACCTGCTCTCTCTATTCCTGGCATACAAAGCATATTTGGCCACACTTTGGGATCCCTTGCTTATGCCTGGGATTTAATTATATCTCAGGTTTGAACTTCACAATGCAAGTTGGTCACAAGCGAAATTCTAGAACTTCATAATTAAATTAAATTATATAATTTGGAAGAGAGACAGCCACTGACCTCTGCCTTCATCCTGTGTGATGCTCCCAGACTCTGGAAAGAGCTCTCCTATGGAATTCAGCTGCTCTGCATTTCATAATCAGGGAGTGTAGAAGTCTATGGTCACTCGGGTGTTGCCAACCTGAATTAAGGAGAAAATCAGGTGTCAGTAATAAATGTTCTAATTCTGTTATAGCAGTAATAACAGTCTGGGCAGCTAGAACCAGCTCAGTCTGGAAAACAATCATTTTATGCTCCCTGCGTTCCTTACCAACCCAAGAGTCTGCAACACTGAACACCCTTCAGGCACCACTAAACTGGCCAGTCTTTGACAGATTTGAACCACTCTCGAGGCAGCAGTTCTAATGCTCAGTAGAATAAGTGTGTCCTTAATAACACCTGCATAGATTACAAGCTCTTCAGAGCAGTAATACTTCAGGAGCATTTGGAAACATACCACTAAGTGGCAGGCCTAGCTAAAAAAAAAAAAAATTAACACTAATTTATTTCAGAAAACATCTCTGCACTTGTATATTTAACCTAAGGGTTACACTCATAGGACATATTATTCTGCATGTTGAAAAGTGAACTTGCAGACCTTTCCTTGTTTCTCATCCACACAATAATTTAAGTATCCATAGACTTAAAATTCTTCTCTTTTAACTGAAGTTCTCTTGTGAGTCCTAACTCTGCAGATTTATCCACATAATAAAGATGCCCCAGCAGCTTTTAAAGAGTGCCAAAATGTGCTAAAACTGAAACAAAACAGCAGTAGCTACATCTAGCTTCATTACAGAGCTATCTGCTATCTGGGAACATGCAGCACAGTGACAACAGCAAGTGACATTCAGTGTTCTTCCTGTTGATACTGGCTGTGGGCTGAGAGCTAAAAGGAGGCTCTGCCAGCAGGCACCCAGGGAATGTGTGACTGCAGTCAGGCATCTTCCTTTCCCTCTCCTAACAATCCCTCTAGGCCGAGCTCTCCTACTGGCTCTTACAGGGTAATGTGCTCCTCAAAGCAGACAATTCCCACAGCAATCCAAGGAGCAGGAGCAGCACGAAACCAAAGCCTACCTTTGTTCTAGGCTGACACTTGTGTTTTGGCAGGATTTGTTAGGTTAGCTTGATAATCATACTTGTACTATGACTGCAGTGATGGCCCAGCAGTGAAAAACCCCAAAAAGACCACGCCTTGTGCAGTCTCTCCCTCCAGCACTACACCAAGGACACACCCGAGGTACCAAAGCAAGAACAGAAAGGAAGGTGGATGCCTGCCATTCCCACACCATTCCAGAGCTTCCTTCTACATTGAGAATTCACTTTAAACAAAATGCAAACTTGCACACATTCTTAGATGGACATATTAAATGTAAAAATAACTGATATTTGGTGGCAAAATCCTTCTCAGCACTGTTTGTGATGCTCAGTGTTTCCCACAGTTCATACCAGAGCTAAGAGGATTCTTCACTTGCCTGCTGTAAGTGCTCCCTCTGCTGCTACGCAGAGCAACCACCAGAAAACACGTTCATCAGCCTAGCAAGAGGTGAATTTTCAAACACTCCATCCCGTGAGGAAAAAATCGATACAATTTTCTGAGATTACTTTTCATGCTTATTTTCTGCACAAGCAACTGCTGTCTTATTCCACTCTTCCAAAGTGTTGGTGGTATCATTTAGAATAACAATGCAGCTAAGGAAAAAACCCAAACCAACCCATATTTAAATATCCTGCATTTGCCCTAAAAAGGCTTTTTACTATTCTTATTAAGCATACTGCAGAATCATTCCCTGATTTCTAAGTGCATTACAAATCCTGAGTGCAAAAAAAACAAAGGTGATGAAATTAAAGACCCATAAGGAAAATAGCGTTTATTTTAATTTAAAAAGCCTAAGGGCCAAAATCCCTGCTTACAGTCAAAATCACTTCTGAAACGCACAAGAGCAAGAGGATGACTGGGGAGCTGCAGGCACTGAAGTTAAGGGCAGTTTACTGGAGCAAGACACAAAAAGCACAGTAGATGCAAATCACCACCTGTGGATGCAGAAACCCTAATTTTCAGAAATATTGCCTGTAAATTCGAGCACTTTCCTTAGCTAAGTCCGGGCAGGTGTGTTGTGGACCTGGGATTGCTGCCCAGGAGGTTTGCTGCAGCTGCCTGCCCTTGGCTGGGGCTCCTGCTGCCGCTGGGTCTGGCAGTGCAAAAAGAGCCTTTTTGAAAATGCACAGGCCTTGGAACCAAACAGGGCTTTGTTTATTTTCTTGTGGGCTGAGCAGTAAGTGCTGAGGTTGCAGGCTGCCCAAGAGCCAGCCTATGGGGGCTCTGCCAGAAGCCAAGGCCTGCAGAGCTCTCCCCGTGGAAAGCTGCCCCATGGGATGCTCCTGCAGCAGCACAGAGGGAACCCGTGTGTGAGGGCAGGGAGAGCTGGCCCTCGGACCTGAGCCAGAGACCTCCCTGTGGGAGCTCTGCAACATGGGAGAAGGCACAGTGCAGCTCGCTGGGAAGGAAAGGCTTTTACTCAGATCCCATTATAAACTAGGAGCGCTGAATCCAAAGTCATTTATAGGCTGGAATGTGGGTTGAGTTAAAAATTCAGGTTTGAAAGTTTGTTATTCAAGTTTTGCTGTGTTTACTTTCCTTGCCCATTTCCTCCAGTAGCCCAAACCATCCTTTCTGTGATGGGTTGAGATAAAAGACAGGGCTGTAGCTCCCAGAAATAAAAAGTGTGGCTTTCTAATCCACTGTTGACTCAGACAGTGAATTAATGCAGTGTTAGAACATTATTCAACAAAAAGAAGTAATCTTATGAAAAATCAAATACCAAGATCATTATGTATTTGTGTATTTACTTCTCCCTTTCCTCACCATAAAACCCCACAATGATCATGACCAATTTTCCAGAACACTGTGGAAAAGCAAGTGGCGACATTAAAATCTAACCTTTTACTTGAAAATATATATACATAAAGAATAGGTTTTTTTCCTGTAAGTAGAAATCTCATAGAATGAGAAAATCAAGAAACCCTAGAAGAGAGGGTAACCTGAAAATCCTCCCTTAAAATTATCTGAAATACGGCCAGGAAATATAATAACATGAAGAAATTTGGCATATTTGTATTCACTTCAAATGCTTTTTGTACAAATGTGGCCACAAATATCACCGGTAAACCCAAAATAAATATACTGTAGAACACTCATGAAAGAACAGTTTAACCTGAAGAAGACGAGGTATTAAAAACAATCCAGCTTTACTAATGTGTTCTGTAACTTTGTGCTGAGGTTTAACCCCAGCTGGGAACTCAACCCCACACGGCCACTCGCCACCCCCACGGTGGGATGGGGGAGACAATAAAATAAGAAAAACTCAAGGGTTGAGATAAAAACATGTAACACTTGAAGCTGCTTTTTACTCTTCCACCCTAGAGGAACTAAAGTGTTGTCTACCCACATCATATTTGGTAATACTTCATGCTTGCCAAGGTGGCCATAAAGCACGGCTTGAGAAACACAGTTTCACATGATGATTTAACTACCAGAACAAGGATGATTTCAGCATCATCACACAAGGTGGTTTAGAATCTCAGTTTAGAACTGAAATATGGGCTAGAGTTGAACAATGGTGCTTCTCTCCACAGAAATCTTCCAGCAGAGAGGCACCCATTACACCAATTTAATACCAGACTGCTCTGGGGGGGGGTTCACCAGTTCAAATAAATCTACACTGGATTATGAAAGAGTATCTCTGAAACCTTAATGTCTTCTCCAAACCAAAAATACAGAAGAGACACACTTCTAGAAATTCAAATATGATGATATCCCATCCCACAGAACCAGAAAAACAGAGGCCAAGGGAAGGGATAGGGCTTAGAGTTTAAGCATGTTTTTAGCATAATTGTGTTTGAAACTGTGGCACTGACATCCACAATAAAATGAAAGAAATTAGGATTCCAGTAATTACAGTTTTTTAAGCCAAGGAAGACTGTGGAAATCTTATATTTGTGTAGTTTTTAAGTATAGCATAAGAGAATAGAGTCTTAAGCAAAACTGGAGTCTGCAATGCCGTGAGAAAGGCTGATGGCAACCAAAATATGAGATGTTGATATTGCTTGTTTGGGCTACGCTCACATTGAATTTAGGATTTAATAAAAGAATAAACTCCATGAATGCCATTTTGGCTGTGTTATGTTTGAAGGGATTTCCTTTGAAGAAAAGGCAAAGCCTCACGGCTTGGGAAGGAATGGAGGATGGGGTTGAGGGTCTTTAAAACATACAGTTTCTGTATGAGAACACAGAAAACAGAACATCCATGATTTGGGAAGAACTAATCTAATTAATCAGTGGCCAGAAACAGAAGAGAGTTGTTTCTGTGTAGCAGTTACCCAGCAGGCTCCAGGAGATGAGTTAATGAACTAATTTGTATGTTTTTGGATGAAATTGTTAAAATAGCCTCAGCCAGTACTCATGTAAGTAAGTCTTCATTCTGCTAGAGCCTTTCCCATATTCCATTCATAAGCATAAAAAGCACCCAACGAGTAATTTCCAAACCAGTGAAAGCGACTCTCAAAACTCCTTTATTCTTAACCTTCCCACAGCTTTTCCAATTTTAAAAATCTTTGCCCTACGAACCCAGATATAAACCTGGCATCGATCTCAGGGAATCACAGGTGGCCAAGTGCCCGTGAGGTGTTTTTAAACCGCCTCCTCAGGGGCCGGGACACCGAATTCTGGCATTTCACGCTGCAGGGCGGACGTGCGGATACACAGCTCCCTGGAAACCCCGCCGTCCCGAAAACAACAATCCCACCGACAGCCGCCACATTGCGCAGAGGAACCGGCACCGACGGCTGAAAGACCCTTCCCTCACGGCAGGGAGGACCCTCCCCGCCTCAGCCGCTGTGAGGGGACGTGGGACCCGCCTTCACGGCGGCCCCCTCACGGCAGCTGCCCCCATCGCCTCACGGCGGCTCCGCCTCGTCTCCTCACGGCGGATCCTCCTCCCCTCATGGCAGCTTTTCCTCCTCCCCAAACGACAGTCCTGCCTCGTGCCTCATGGCAGCTTTTCCTCCTCCCCAAACGACAGTCCCGCCTCGTCGCGTCATGGCGGCTCCTCCTCCCCTCACGACGGCCCCGCCTCATCCCCTCATGGCAACTTTCCCCCCTCCCCTCACGACAGTCCCGCCTCCTCCCCTCATGGCAGCTCCTCCTCCTACCGTCACGACAGTCCCGCCTCGTCGCGTCATGGCGGCTCCTCCTCCCCTCACGGCGCTCCCGCCTCTTCCCCTCACGGCGTGGCCGCGGTGCACTGTGGGAGCCGCGGTTCCCGCCCCCCGGCCCCTCAGCCGGACTACAGCTCCCAGCGCTGGCGGGCGCGGCTCTGCCGGCGGGGCATGCCGGGAGCTGTAGTCCCGGCGCCCCTGCCGCCCCGCCCGCGGCGCGCAGGGAAACCCCGTGCGCCCGGACCCGGCCCTCTCTCTGCCGCGGCCGCCATTCCGCGAGCAGCGCGGGCACCCCGCGCCCCGGCCCCGCACCGCCCGCACAGCCCTCACCATGCAGATCTTCGTCAAAACCCTCACCGGGAAAACCATCACCCTCGAGGTGAGCCGACAACGCCGCGCCGGGCCGCCGCTGCCTGCCGGTGCTCCGGGATGCGCCGGGAGATACCGGGATGCGCGGGGAATCCCCGGGATATGCGGGGGAACGGCGGGGTGATGCGCGGGGAAACGCCGGCCCCGCGCTGCCCGGCGGGGTTCGGGCCACGCCGCGAGGGCCGAAAGGGCCGTGTCAGCACCGGGGGTGTGCCGGGAGCTCCGCGTGGTTCCGCGGCTTTCCTGGGCTCAGTAAAAGGCGAAGCGCGTTTTGACTCTCTTGTTCTGTTTAATTAAATAGGTTGAGCCTTCTGATACTATAGAAAATGTGAAAGCGAAGATCCAGGATAAGGAGGGTACGTTCAAGAGGCACTTACTCATTATTATATAGTGATCGAAATAAATAAATAAAAAATAAATATTATATATACTATTTATGCTATGATATAAACTCCTACATTATATTTCTTATATATTATATTGATATATATCTGTCTTGTGGACTGATTTATGTCCTGCACAGATGTAATTGTCTGCAGCAATTTTTTTTTTATTGCAGCATGTTCTAGTGCACGTTCCTCATTTATTCCCGGTTTGTGTCACCCTTAGGCATCCCTCCGGATCAGCAGCGGCTGATCTTTGCCGGGAAGCAGCTGGAAGATGGACGCACACTGTCCGACTACAACATTCAAAAAGTGAGTAGGAGAGGCAGGAGCTGGCACAGTCAGAGCTGAGTCGCCTTTGCTGCTCAGCCTCAAAATTGTTTCAAGTGTCTTCAACCAAATCAATGGATTTAGGGTTGGGGGGCAGTATTGATGCTGGGGGCTTGGGATGTCATCTTAATAGCAAATAATCCTTTTAAGAGCTTTCCTAAGTGCCTGGCACTTGAGGCCTGCTTTCTCTGGATAAAAGGAGCAAGCCTGCTTAAATGCTGCTCTTGCCTTGAGACATCATTCTGAGCCTACTTCATGTGCCTTACTAACAGGAATCAACCCTTCACCTTGTGCTGAGACTTCGGGGCGGTGCCAAGAAAAGAAAGAAGAAGTCTTACACCACCCCCAAGAAGAACAAGCATAAGAGAAAGAAGGTTAAGCTTGCAGTGCTCAAGTACTACAAGGTAGGTAGAAATACAAAACTCGATGGAAACTCAGCTCTCAGCAGAGCTTGTAACTGCTCTGCACAGAGCCTGGTGTATTTAATATTCAGAGTCCTTCCCTCTGCAAATATCCCATCTGCTTAATGAAAGAGAAACCCACTGGTGCAGCTGGGCACTTCTGAGCTTGCATTAACTATCACAGAAACTGCTTTGCCAATGTAAAACAGTCAGAATTCTCATTACTTCTAAAGGTGTTTGAAAGATTCTCCCTGTCTGCCCTTCCCAGGTGGACGAGAACGGCAAGATCAGCCGCCTGCGCCGGGAGTGCCCGTCAGAGGAGTGTGGGGCCGGAGTCTTCATGGCCAGTCACTTTGACAGGCACTACTGTGGCAAGTGCTGTCTGACCTACTGCTTCAACAAGCCAGAGGACAAGTGAATGTCCCACACAATAAAGAGCTGACCTTCTGTACGGTTTTTAAGGGTCTCTTTTTTTCTGTGGTGCTGTGTTTCTTCTCTGCTCGTAAAGAGAAAAACCTGCGAAGCCTTGGGTGCTGCCAACTGGGATGAGGTGCTTTCTAAAACTGAAGCAAGCAGCTTGTTTTAAATGATAAGGGGTACCAGTTGCAGAGGGGGGAAAAAACAACATTACAGCTAACCTTAGGAGTGGTCTCTTAACATGAGACAGGACAGTAGTTCTGATCTGGAAAAAGAGGAGCTCAGGAGGTCCAGAGTCATGTGTACAAGTGGGTCAGTGCTAGAGAAAGGGGGAGCTGAAATACTGTACAGCACCATCGAGGGAGGGGAAAGAAGATGGCTCAGCTATTTTGGAGCCAAAGACAGTCATCAGAAATATTTATACCATGATGGCTTTACACACCTGAAATGCTTGTACTTACTCCTGTAGTTTATCCCGTGTTCCAGTGACATAAGGTGGTTGCTTGACATGATAGAAAGGCAGAGAATTTCAGATATAAAATATACCTGAAATGCTCTGATATAAAGAAGAGGTGTAAAGCAGCTCCTGTGCATCTCTGAAAGTTCATTTAATGTTACCAGTTAAAGGCCAGCCAGGAGTATAATACACATCCCTTAGTGTTCATGTATTCCAAGGTCCTTTAAAATCCCGGGTCCCAGGAAGTTGTCTGTTGAACTTCTGTTTCTTCATAACAAATAATATCATCCCCAACGTTGAATTCCAAATTCCTGTCCAAACTCAGTCCACAGTCCATTCCTGCTTTTATTACCTGGGCATCATCTTTATGGTGCTTCAGTGATGATAAAGATCCTACAAAGAGAAAAATGCATCATGAAGGGAGCCCACCAACAGCAGAGCACAGAAGTGGTTTGGTGCAGAATTTCTTGCAGAATTCATGTTGTCATGTTGGTGGCAATTCCACTTACCTTTCCAAATAACATTCCCGCTGCGGATTAACTTGAACTTCATTTTCCTGTCCAGCAGCCCCTTGTGTACTCTGCATCCAGCCACTGGAATCTTGTTTTTCCCCACTGTTACAGAGAAGGTGTCGAGAACAGAAGCTTCCCCTAAAAGAAAAAAGTTGTACATGGGATTAATGAACTGGCACCAGGTATAAGCAGGCTGCATTTTTCCACTTGCCAAGCTTTACCCCAACAGAAAAGCAGTTACAGAGGAGTATAAAATGAATATTTGATACAACAGGAACTGGAGAATAAAGTTTAGGCCACATTGTGAGGCAAAAATCTATCAGTCAAAGCCAACTCACCTACTGTAGTCTCCACCACAGCTGGGGGCAGTCTGCTGTTGAGCTCCTCTTTTAAGTCGTCTATAAGTTTGTAGATGATGTTGTGAAGTTTAATTTTTATTCCCTTTTTATCAGCCAGCTTTTTAATACTGTCATTGGCTTTCACACTGAATCCATATATAACACCTGATAAAGGAAACACTTGTCAAGTGATGACTATGAGAGATCACACTTTAAACAGTTCAAAGTGAAACCCTGCAGCACGGGGTAGAATTAGGTGGTCAGCAAACCAAGGAAAGCATTTTACTCCTGCTTCCTTTTTAAGGAATTTTACTGATTTTACAGCATTTTACTGCTTCTTCCACTAAGGCACATCAACTGCTACAGACCTCGTATCAAAATAATGGCCCAAGAAAGTCCTCATGGAAAGGTCCCTGAGGACAGAACTGGAGGTATCAACGCAGAAAATAACACACACAGCTCACAGAAATGACTCAGACCTGCCATTTTGGGGCTGGAAAAACAGCTTGGTTGCCCAAAGTAAGCCGGAAGTGAATTCTAGATCCCTCTCATCCACGTGTGGGCTATGGCAGGTCCAGTGACCCGCCCTCTGCAGCAGGTGGGAATTACAGGATACAAACAGGAAAATCTACTGAGTCAGCCTTAGATCCAGTGGCCTCCCTGAGCAAAAGGAAATCATTTTCTAACCTACTTTTCAAGCTTTGCCCTGTTTGAACATCACACAGCAACCTGAGGGAGCAGTCACAGTTTTAATCTTAACAATTCAGCTACTACTGGCAACAGCTCTTCCAGAGTCCTTCCACTTCCATGAGATTTCCAGCCTACACTAGTCTGATGTTCAAGGAAACATTTTTAAGATACATGTAAATTTACCTTATTGATGCTGCTAATTACTGTTAAATTAAACCTGACTGAGGCCTCCCCATTTCAGTAACTGAATAATTTCAAAATTGCAAACTGATTTTTAAACACACCATTAAAGGCTTCAGCGAGGCTCAGATCGTTTTCACTGATGTCTCCCATTCCAAAGTGGACAATGTCCAGTTTACACTCATCCTCACAGTCATAGCTGTCCAGAATGTTCAGAATAGCTTCAACAGATCCATCCACATCACCTGCAGGGGTAAATGGAAGCACTGCTGACTTTGGATATAAAGGAACATGGAATTATAACTAAGCACATGACAACTCCACGCTGTGCAGCAGAAAGTCTTTTGACATCTATCACTCTTATTACATTTTCAGTAATATGTTAAAATCCATCTAACAAGTCTGTTCATTCCAAAAATTAACTGGATAAATACAACAGGACCAGAGGCTCCACATCTGCTGTCATTTTTTGGGTCAAGTTTGCATCATTTTTCGGGTCCTGATGTCACTGCTTGTGTATCACCAAATGTGAAGTCAAACCAAGGTCCTCCTGTCCCACTTGAATATACAATTTCTCTCCATTTTGCTGATGCAAAATGATTATAGTTTGGGGGTGGTGGTGTTACAATTTAGATACACAGAGGTTTATATATGTATGTATATATTTGCATAGGGGTTTACATGTATGGGGTTTACTTCTGAGTTCCTGGGTAGGAGGGTTGGGCTTCTAAGTTTCCTGTGGCTCTGGCCCTGCTGGAAGTGCATCCTTCTGTCCACTGGATGTTTCCTGACGCCCCTGCCCTTACTGAAAGAAGTTCTCTGATCAGTTTTGGACTGACCAAACTTCAGGGCACAGAAATGGTGTTCACAGCTGACCCCGGGGTGTGGTGAAGGGACAGCACCTTTCACTATGACCGACAGCGTGTCCTCGGCCACCTCCCTCCTTTCCTTGGGCCTCTGGAACAGCAGGTGCTTGTTGGCCTTGTAGAGCACGGCCTTCCT